GGTGCTTTAGACCACTGAGCCATCTCACCAGCCCTGAGTTTTAAATTTTTAAAAAATTATTTGATACAGGGTCTCACTACACAATTCAGACTCATAGTGATCCTCCTGTCTTAAACTCTGCAGCGTTGGGATTACAGGTGTGTGCCACAATCCCCAGATTTCGGGCACACCTGGGGTTCTGAGGCTAGCAGGGCATACTGGGGATCAAACTTGGGCCCTTCAACTTGCCAGGCAGGTGCATATGCCATTGAGCTATCTCCCCAGCCCAGGATGAGATACTGTCTTTATTTCTCCCATGGAAAAAAGTATTTCTAGGGTAACTCCATAATGAATTAATTTGTAACAAAAACACTTAAGCTAATGGTAGCTTCAACTGAAACAAAAAATATAAACTCTAATTCCCATAAGGTTCCTTCTGTTATGAACATCAATCACAAAAATTACCTGAAAACATGCTTACTTCAATCGCCTGTGTAATGGACTGCACAGTGCCACCTTCCTCTGGCTACCCTTGGGGCAATACTGCAGCACGTAACCCACAGACTCGAATCCTTTCTCTGTGCTTCCTATGACACTTCATAAAGCTATGATGAAGACAAACTGTTCCACTGAGGCTTTTTCCACACAGAAAGGGAACCTCACATCTTGGAAAATGACAAAGCAGATTTCCAAACTCATCAATAAATGGTTTTTCTCCAACTTCATTATAATTATAAGCATTGTTGCTTACACTCCAGGTCTAAACTGTAAAAGAAAAATAACAAAATGCCTGTTATATTTTGTCACCATTACTTCTGTAGTTGACACCTGAAGCAAACAGCACACAAGCCCAACTGATTCATTCAAAATGAAAATAAGATTTATAAATGCATACTAGATGTCAGACATAGCTTGTTTTATTAATTTTTTTCACTGATCCAATAACTAAATTAAAACACTTCAAAAGAGTAGATGGTGCCAGTTCTGCTTTATCCTGGTACCTGTAGGCCCATGAAGATCATCCAGGTATGCAGAAAGAAAAGTGCTTCCAAACAAGTTTCTTGTGCTTTTCCTTTAAATTCCACTTCCAATAATATATAGCCTCAGCCAAGTTTTCAAGTCCTAATTCCATTCTTGAGTTGCTTTTGTTTGCCACAGTCTCTCAGTTCTCAGCAAAGCTTCAGTAGCTTTCAACGTCCTCCAGTATTAAGATTTAATGGAGAAAAGGAAAATGCACTGAACAAGGGAAATATGGTCTGTAGCCAATGGCCTGCTCTCATCTCACACTTCATATTTTAATATAAAATAATCATACAGCATACTACATCTGTCTGCTAGCTGGACATGGTTACTGATGAGCTCTAGACAACAAAAACACCTCTCCCAATATCTATAAACAGGAAATTAATTCCAAACACTATTGGGAAGTTGCTTTAGGGTAGGGAATCACGTTCCAAAAATCTATGCTGGAGAACAAGCAAAGGAGACAGCACTTATTTCTGTCACCAAATCTGATCCCACACCTGCTGGAAAGTCTGGAGTCTCATTAGTGTTCCTGTTTGAAAGGTCTGTGGGCTGCAAATCACTCTGGCTATGGGCTGCTCCTCTGCTGCACGGTCTTCTCTCGCTAGAAATGAGCATTTCTCCAGTCTTCCTTTTGTGACTTCTGCTTCTTCAGTTAAGAGTTAAATAATAATTAATGTTGCTCTAAAGATGAGTTAAAAACCCAAAATGCAGGCTAGAATCCTGCAATGTCATGTCTCAGGTAGCTGGTTAATGTCTGTCAGTTTGGTATCATTTAGAATTGCCCGGATTCTCTCCAAGGAGTCTGCTTGCCGAATTCGCTCTAACTGCACCTGGAGAAACAATGGTGAGATAAGTACAGATGGTCCCTGTGTAGATGTCGTCTACAAAAGTCTACCAGAGCTGCCTCTTAAGAGACTAACGTTGTGAGGTATAGGTGCTGGATCATGGAGACAAAGGAGACCATACTCCTAACCCTGGAGAAGCCACAGTTCATTTGGAGGAAAGACACGCTTTTGAGGGGTGTTTTATCACAACCTACTCAACTTCACTGTGGCAGTCACAGAGTGCCAAGGAAGTATGGTGGAGGAGGAACTGCAGTTGAGCTCAGGGACCAAGACATGGGTTCTGTGTCAGAGACAAACCTAAGCTGGGCCTTGGAGAGCAAAAGTCAAGGGGAAAGGATAAGGATGCTTACCAGAGGGAACACCATGCTGTGCACAGGGAACTACAAGTACTTGTATTAAATATATACACTTTTACCATTAAAAAAGCAAAATTGACAAAGTATAAGGAAAAGAGAAAAGCAAATCCGGAGAGAATACCAGGTTTCAAGCCTGAATGATGGGCAGACACTTGGGGTAGATGTAAGAGCTGTCACAGTGACCTACACCTCCAGCTACTTTAGGGCCGATGAGTTTCCCCTCAGTGCAGCAGTGGTTCCCCAAATGCCTCACCTGTAAGGTCTGAGAAAGCTTTACAAAATCCCTCTGGACTTGTTCACTGACATCTAATTCTGTCTGTAATCTCTGAGCTTTGTTCTTCTCTTCAAACATCAGTTGTTCAGCAGCAACCTAAAATAAATTGAGTGAGGATTAATGGCAAAGAGCTAAAGGTCACAATTAGGACCTCGAGGCGCTTCAGTTACCTACTGATAGAATGAAGTGGGTAACCATCATACTTCTATACTCCACTAATCTCTTTTTCATTAAAGCAAGAGTGCAAATTGGCTAGGCTACTTGTTCTAGGTTCTAAATTGACCTGCACATAAAAAGCCAGAATAAGAAATAACTAAGTGTTTGCCCACCCTCCCCCCACTCCAGGCAGCACAGCTGCTAGGCTCAGCAGCAGTCACAGCAAAAGGCACAGAAACAAACTCCTCTGACAATCATCCAATACATCCACAAAAATTGTCCACAACTATGTCCTGACAATCCCAGCCATCTCCAATCTTCCTTACAGAAAAAAAAAAAACTTCAGTAGGTGTTGGAGCCCTTCTACAAACAAGAGGTTGTTGAACAATAACAACAGTGTTTCCACACTGAAATATGTGACACACAGTTCACACAGACCATGTCTAGGGCTGGCGAGATAGCTCAGTGGTCTAAGCACCTGCCTGGCAAGCACAAGGACTGGGTTCAATCCCAGGTACGACATACTATGCCAACCCCAGAACCCTAGGCGTGCCATTCCGGCCCCAAAACCAGGCATGGTGGTGCACACTTGTAATCCCTGCACTGGGGAGTCTGAGACTGGAGGATCACTACGAGACCAAGCTGCCTAGTGAGACCCTGTATCAAATAAGTATGTAAAATGAAAAAATATTTTTAAAAAGACCATCTCCAGACAACTCACAATAACTACACACA